GCCACACCCCCACTCAGTGTCATCACAGCCTCTTTCCTGGTTAGCCGCATCTGAGCAAAAGAGTTACATCAGAGTAGGCAGAGTAGAAGAGCCACATGCAGAAACAGGCTCAATCGACATCAGAGAGGCAACATCAACATGGCAGCGTGAGTGGCGTGTAAGCATGGCCAAGCGGAGATGGAGATAGACAGGTTCCCCCCTGATGGCAGCCTGAGGGCTGACATATAGTACTATAAAATATACATTAATCTATATTTTTTTTAAAAAAAAACCTTGCTTTGCTGTTGCTTAAGAACAAGAGATGGGCACCGGCAATCTCAATAACTAGCAGAAAGGACATAAATATATTTGTAACATTCTCAGGTTTATTTTAATGAAATGGAAACAAAGTTCATACCAGAAGGTCGCAAAGAGTTAGCAACGTAAGTTGATAATGCCATTATTACCAACATTCTCAATCTAAAGGTCTCTTAATATATTCATACTAAGACTCCTAGCAAAATCAATGATACAAATGATAGAAGCAGCACTTTAATACATCTGGAGGCACCGAGATTGGACAAACCTACGTTATTAGACTTATGCTTAGATTTCATCACTGTATGCCAGTCTCCAACTTTTCTGGTAAAAAAAGAATTGCTTTACTGGCCCCTGAAACCTAACCAGGAGTTTTTGGTAATCCACGTCCTGGATTTTGCTTGCAATTTTTATGCAAAACATGAACTACCCTATTTTTTTATCCAGGAAAAGCTGCTCTTGAGTGAAAAGTTAAGCATTCATATGAGAACAGAAAGATTTTACAATAGATTCACTATATTCTTTAAAAAAAATAGAGGGAATTTGAACATGAGAGGAGAGCAATTAAGTCTAGCACCATGCCTAAGACTTTTTTTCCAGAGTAATGGACAGCTGAAACAAATGACTTGAAAATTCATTTGTCAGTTCATTTATACATAATGGAGCAGTAATCTAGTTGAGCGCAATGCTAGCTATATTAAGCACAGAAAGTCTGATGTTCACTTTTTGTAACATAATTTTTTAAGAGTTATAGTTTATTATAAATACAATACTTTTAGAAAGTCTGACACCACAATACTTTCCAAATGGTCAAAAGCTTATTTTAAAAAATTGAATATTGATATTTATCTATTGATATTTATCTAGAAAAGTTTGAATTATTCTAACAATAGACCACACCTGGATAGTATACCTGGATTTAGTTCACAGTTGAACACATTTTTAGAACAATGCACAAAGAAAACCACTCAACCTTTATAGTTCTATAAATTGTGTATAGCAATTGCATTTTTTCTGCACCTACCATACGATTCTGGGAAAAGATATGCTCGCTCTATCTATCTATCTATCTATCTATCTATCTATCTATCTATCTATCTATCTATCTATCTATCTATCTATCT